AGGAGGCGCGTCGGATTTGGTCCGTGAAGATCGGTCTCGACCGAACCGGCCCGCGCAAGTCGGGCTCGCGTGAGTCGCGCACGATCCGACCAGCCCTCATGAGCCCAGGTCCGAGCAGACCCGTTTCGATCGACAGGAGGGCGAGTCGGATTTGGTCCGTGAAGATCGTGCTTAACCGAACCGGCCCGCGCAGGTCGGGCTCGCTTGAAATCGAGCACGATCCGACGCGCCCTCACGAGCCCAGGTCCGAGCAGACCCGTAAACCAATTAGGTGTTTGAACCTCAGAGCTGAAAGGAAAGCTGTGCAACCCCGACATCAAAATCACGACGGCATGCAAAATAACCCGTGTCGATCGACAGGAGGGCGCGTCGGATCTGGTCCGTGAAGATCGGGCTCGACCGAACCGGCTCGCGCAGGTCGGGCTCGCTTGAATCGAGCACGATCCGACCAGCCCTCACGAGCCCAGGTCCAAGCAGACCCGTATCGATCGACAGGAGGGCGCGTCGGATTTGGTCCGTGAGGATCGTATAAAAATAATATGATCGTGCGGCCGAACCGGCCCGCGCAGGTCGGGCTCGCTTGAGTCGCGCACGATCCGACGCGCCCTCACGAGCTCAGGTCCGAGCAGACCCGTATCGATCGACAGGAGGGCGCGTCGGATTTGGTCCGTGAAGATCGGGCTCGACCGAACCGGCCCGCGCAGGTCGAGTCGCGCACGATCCGACCAGCCCTCACGAGCCCAGGTCCGATCAGACCCGTTTCGATCGACAGGAGGGCGCGTCGGATTTGGTCCGTGAAGATCGGTCTCGACCGAACCGGCCCGCGCAAGTCGGGCTCGCGTGAGTCGCGCACGATCCGACGCGCCCTCACGAGCCCAGGTCCAAGCAGACCCGTATCGATCGACAGGAGGGCGCGTCGGATTTGGTCCGTGAAGATCGTAATAATAAATAATAATAAATTAGGATCGTGCTGGCCGAACCGGCCCGCGCAGGTCGGGCTCGCTTGAGTCGCGCACGATCCGACGCGCCCTCACGAGCCCAGGTCCGAGCAGACCCGTATCGATCGACAGGAGGGGCTTCGGATTTGGTCCGTGAAGATCGGGCTCGACCGAACCGGCCCGCGCAGGTCGAGTCGCGCACGATCCGACCAGCCCTCACGAGCCCAGGTCCGAGCAGACCCGTTTCGATCGACAGGAGGGCGCGTCGGATTTGGTCCGTGAAGATCGGTCTCGACCGAACCGGCCCGCGCAGTCGGCTCGCTAGTCGCGCACGATCCGACCAGCCCTCACGAGCCCAGGTCCGAGCAGACCCGTTTCGATCGACAGGAGGGCGCGTCGGATTTGGTCCGTGAAGATCGGTCTCGACCGAACCGGCCCGCGCAGGTCGGACTCGCTTTAGTCGCGCACGATCCGACGAGCCCTCACACACTTTTTTTTCTGACATCTTGGCGTGAACCACGTTGTCAGATAAAATCTGCAACCCCGCTCTTTGCGGCCCGCGTTTTGGCGGCGCCCTCGCTCCCACCGTGTCCGCTCGCTCGCTCGCTTGCTTGCCCCGCGGACATGGCCACTGAGTCCGGCGGCGAGGATTCTTGGACCCAGGTCCGCGGTGCTAAGCGCCCGAGTGCCGAATCACCTCCAAGCAACGCAACCACCTCGCCTTCCCAAACTCATCGTTCTGCAAAACACACGAAACATGGCAGCGCTCGCCACGACCGTAACCATGTTTTCCCTGACCCCATGACCACCCCGCTTCGCCCTCACGCCCGCCACTCTGTCCCTACCGCTCGTGCCTCGTCTCATGTGCCCTCGACGTCCCCCGCTGCCGGTGCGACCGAGTCTTCGGCACGTGCCGTCGTGCCCGCGGCCGAGCCAGTGACCAGGACGTCAAACGGCGGCGGGGAGCAACATCCCATCATCGGAAACACTTCCAATGCTTCTCCCCGCACCCCTCGCACGCCATCCAGCCCTCGCTCCTTTGCTCAAGTTGCTGCGGCAATGCCTGCCGCCGCCACTGCCACATCTTCGGCCCCTATGACCGAGGATTTGTCAGCATCGGTGCCCTCTGAGCCAAATGGCAGCGGGGAGCAACAACCCTCGCCCGAGTCCACAGGGCAGACACATCATTCGATTCCTAACACACCATCGGATTTCTTGACCATGTCTTCGGATGAAAGCGACTCCCCTCCTCGCTCCACCGNACTCCGCGCGCCCACCCCTATCGGCCCTCCCGCGCATGATGGTGACGGTGACACAAACGGCAGTGCCACGCCTGAGCCATTGGT